AGTTAAAATCATTTACCAATATGATTTAAAGTATACAATATATAGAGTTAAAAGATTGATGATACTGATGTGCTTGACCTATTGTTTTATTATCTTTTTTACTATACAGAGTTTTCTTGGTTTTATTTAAAAATAACAAAAACTATAAATTATTTATAAAAAATGTCAAATAAATAATTCTGGGCTTATCCTAAATAAAATACAACGTTTTTTGATAAAAAAGATGAACAATTTTCAGTGTAATAAAGGTAATTAAACGGCTTATTTCCATCGTACAAAATAATTATAATTTAATTCAAAAGCTTTAATGGTTTTTTCCATGTCAGCACAAATATAACTTCTTTCTACGAAGGATTTCCTTTAGCAATAATAGACAAGTTGTTCCTCACACAAGTTAACTCGTCTCACCATTTGACTTATGTATTTGGAGTTGTTAAAACACAACGAGCTTACTGAATATTCTAACAAATGAAAACCAATTGACGCTAATTGCGCAGTAACTAAAGACGGCGGGGTTCAAATTGGATTGATTTTTGGATTAAAGAACAATGTGATAATGATGGCAGATCACGACAAGTTCTAAAAGAACAAAAAGCAATAAAAACATATTTTTGTTTCCATTGCTCGTCATACCAAAGAGGTGTTGGTAGCAAGAGAGAGCAAAGCAACAAAAACATCATTGTTGCATCATTTAAGCGTTCTGGTGTTGTTGGAGTCAACATTGGAAAGATTAAGAGAAAGTTTGTTTTATCAAAGAGGCCTACAAATTGTACCAAGAAGCCAACAATGTTTATACCAGAGAACACTTGGAATTGTTAGTTTTTCTGCATATATCAACAAATTTGGTCAAAACTGAATAGGAAGGTTTGCCTTCCAATATACAAAAGCTGAACCAACAACAAAAGCCATATCAAACAAGAAGACTAACACTTACCAATGACTTAATTGAAAAACAATAACAAACACCAAAGTTATTTCGAATACAATTTCAAGTTCTGACTTTATGCTTAGGATGAACCAATACTTTTATGGTTTATATACAATAACTTATCAATCAAGGTTGTTATTCAATTCAACGTAAATTTTTAAAAACCGAGAACAAATGGTTTCTATGAAATAAGGAACAAATGAACCATATGAAATTCTGTGTTGTTGTTATACTCTCACTTTCTCAATTTTATTAACCCAATTAATTATTCCCCCTTAAATAAATTCATTTTAATGAACATTGCAATTTGGATTAAAAATTTGATTACATACACTTTATAGCTATAAAAAAGCCAAAAAAGGTTTATGTTCAAGAAACACATCAACCAACATAAAATGTTCTGCATAATACACAGGATTAAGAATAATATTTTCGTCAGTAATTTCATCCATCTGTCCTCTTATTCTTTCTTCGTTTATCACTTCATATTAAAAGTCATCCCAATCAAACAAAAACGGGATTACCCCACTTGTAAAGGTTTCTCAACTTTATCCAAAAACAAAATGCATTAAGTATTGGTGTATTCAATCGTTGCGTTTAAATTATTTTGATTAATTCTTTGATATCATTTCTTGCGTTAAAATACATTAAATATTCAAATATAATATTTAAAGAAGAGTGTTGTTGTCGAACATTTTCCAATCAATTTTGTTGCCTGGATCATCATTTTCCATTAGACTTATATCTGTTGTTGATTGTTCATCTATTTTTGTATGTCAGATAATTCTAATGCATTGACAATTGTGTTGGTTTCATAATCACATAATTATTTTATCTTGGCTGTATGTATTTTCATCAATTTCGAAATTAAAGTGAAAATTTTGTTTGTCACTACACGTCAAAACAGAGTTTTTTGAACATTCAATATTTTCGTTCATCAATTCATGAATGTCGTTGGTATTTTCCAACGCCGGAGTAATTTCTATTTGATAAAGCGAATTGTCACAACACTGAAATGCAGATGGTATTCAATTCGTGTCGTCAACTTGTGTAATATAATTAGAAAAAACGTGGACAACATTACCCCGGTTTTAATATGTAACAGTTGCCAAATAATAGGTTCCACTTTCATTTTGCATCACAGATTGATCTTCAAACATTAGAACTTGACTTCAATCACTTTTATTGAATGTATCATCATTGTCGAAATAAACTCCTTCTTGTGCCATTGAAATCCACTCTGCTGTTTTGGATGAAGTTTAGAAGTGTGTTTTTCAGTTATTTTAAGAAAAGACGCTGTGGTTAAACACGAAAATAAATCATTATTAATTGATCTTGGTATATAGCAATTAATTAAAAATGTTGGTAATTTCTTGATGTTATTATCGCTTTGTTAATAACA